TCAGGGAGCTCCTCAGTGAAACCCAAGTTCTGCCCTCAGTAACTTGGTGCCCGTGTAGCACTCAGATCTTTCCTCACTACTTCATGTTTTAAGAGTACTAGAAAGCCCCTGAGCCTGCTGGCCTTGAGCTGTTCTAGCAGGTGATGGTCTCTGTCTTCAGGCCTCTCTGGTAGCGGCTAAGTCTGGTAACAAGCAGAGAAGGGAGACAAGCAGACAGGCTTGGGCACAGGCAGGCCCGGATGCTGGGGCAAGGCAAGCCCGGTATAGCATGTGTGTGTCCGCAGGTGAGTACCTTATCTACTTCGAGGCCCTGGGATTTATCTGGAAGCTGCAGCAGGTGGTGACAGTGCCCTTGCGGAGGTCAGAAGTGGCTCCATTTCCAGACCAGCTGTCCATCTCCTGCACTGCCTCCCCTGGCTTCCAGCTGAGCTGCTGCTTTCCCAGAACAGATCTGGTCTACACTGCTGCCTGGAGCCCCAGGGTGGGCAGCCAAGGTAGAAAAGGGGACAGATGGTGGGATCAGAGAGGGAAGTGGGCATCTGGCTTCCAGTGCTGACGAGAGAAGGCTGCCGTAGAAGCTGGGGGCTGAGGGGCCCGAGGCCAGCACTCCCAGTCAGAGCAATCACAGTTTCGTTGGCATCACACAATCACATACAACGCTGCAAAATGTCTCCAGCCACAGTCTCATTTATCTCTTGTAATAAACTCTATGTGGTTATTTTGATGGTGGCCTCCCATTTTACAGATGAGGGAACTGAGTCCTGGAGCTAGTTAGAGACCTCTTCAGGGAGCTCCTCAGTGAAACCCAAGTTCTGCCCTTAATAATTTGGTACGCATACACCACTCAGCTCCTCCCCACTGCTTCGTGCTTCTGAAAATCGTGGAAAGACTGGGCCAGCTGGCTTCTCAGTTGTTCCAGCAAGTGAGGGTGTCATCTCTCATCTCTCTCCCCCTCAGTCTCCTTACTCAACAGGACAGACTCTCAGTGCCTGCTGCTGGATGTTCAACACTGCCCGGAAGCCAACACTGCATACACTTGTGAGCTGGACGCACATGGCCTGGCTCCTCTTAGGAGATCTGTAGCCATTACCATCATCCAGGGTACGTGGGGCTTGCAGTCCACCATGTCAACAGCTAGCTGCTTGCCCTTGGACCAGGAGTCTCCTCCTTGATGTTGCTTTGCCAACAAGGCCAGGCTCTGCAGCTCAGGTTAGGGCCCAGGAAAAGGCTCAGGCTGGGCTGCAACTGAGTCCTCTCTCCATTCTTCAGATGGAGACATTGTCTGCCCTGAGGACCTCTCAGCTGCTACCTGGAATGTCACTAAAGCTGGCCACGTGGCACAGGTCCCATGTCCCATGAACAGGACAGGCATGATGAAGAGGCTCTGCGGGCCTGATGGGATCTGGGGGCCCATCCAGAACAACTGCATAGACATGGAGATCCTGGCCTTGTATGAAGAAGCCAGGGTAAAGCGGCTACCCACTTGCCTCCCCCCATGGCCCCCTCTCAGACCTAGTTTTATAATCCTTTCCCCATGTCAGCTTATGACTTATTTGGGTCCTATCACAGGAAGCTCTAGCAGAACCCAAAAGTAGGCATGGGGGCCTCACAGGGCCAGCACTCTGCCTGGGAGTGGGATGTTCTCAAGCCACAGTCCCATCAAATGTCCCCTAACATTAGCATCAGTTCCACCCTCCAGGCTCCCTCAGTCACCTCCCCGCTCCCTGGTCTCCAGAACAGATGTGGGCATGCAGGAACAAGGACAGGAAGGAGAGGGGGAGCGGAGGAGATGAGGATTCTCCTGCCACTCTGCCTCTTGCCGTCTTGTCCACCGCAGTTGCTGCAGGCCGGCCAGGGGAAACCTTCTAAAAGAGTGCCACAAATCCTGGAAAGGCTGCAAGAGCGAGTAGAGAAGGCAAGCTCGCCCTCTGACTTACTGAAACTGCTGGGCACTGTGGAATTACTGGCTAGTGTGGTGGCAGAAGTCAGAACAGTGCTGAATCCCAGTTCCCTGGAGGTGAGAGCTCTGAGCCTCAGCAGATGCCAGCTGAGCAATAGGGGTGGAGACTCCTCACTTGGGGTCCCTCCTGCCCATCTGACATCAGCATGGCAGCCAGGATCCATGACAGTGGAGTGTGCAGTGCTGAGAACACACGGGAATGGGAAGGCAGGAAGGGGTAGGGAGCCCGGAGTAGGGAGGCATCCCTGCACATGCAGACATGTGGATCTCACATGTGCACACACTCACACAAGTACACATACATGTGATCCTGCATGAAGACACTCAAACACACTTGGCTTTGCTGTCACCCTCAGTGGTCACCCTCAGTAGGGGCAGCAGTTACTGACCCAGGAACTTCAAATGAATAACAAGAGGTAGTTGATGTCATACACTCTTCATGTCTGGACTGCATAGCATAGGTGGCTGTACAGACATGAATGTAGCCCTTGAGTTCAGAACATTGTGCACCCTGCTGCTGGCCACCATTCCTAGCTTTGCAAACCTGGAAGGGGTAAGGAATTGGAAAGGGCCCCTGTTTTTAAGCCCCAGGTAGCCCCAAGGGGTCGTCAGACTGAGGGGCTGGGTGTGCTCAGACCTCATGCTTAAAGATGCCCCCAGTGGTGGGCTGAACAGTCCCCAGTCTTCCCATCTAGAAAGTCTCTTTTACAGGCCTGTCTTCTGTTCCCTGTTTTCCAGCGCTGTGTCTTGCATTGGCATAGGAAGGGTGGGGTTGGGGTCTGTAGCCCTAGCTGCCCTGGCTCGGCACCATGGGCTCAGGCAGATCAGGCTTATCTCTCTCTTGAGTGCCACAGGACCTCCTGACAATCACAGACAAAGTCCTAGACATGAATGCCAGCTCTCTGTGGACCCCTGCCCAAGCCCAGCAGCCCTCGATGGGCTCAAATTTCCTGCTGGCTGTGGAGACCCTGCTACGCAGCTTGTCCCCCAAGGATCAGCCCTTCTCCTTCAACTCCTCCAATGTGCTGCTGCACCGTCAGGTCCTGGAATCCACATTTGCTGATGACTACAAAATCTCCTTCTCTACCCAGCCCCCGCTATGGGCCTGCATCTCCAAATATTCACTGACCCCACTGGTTCACAGTGGAGCCAATGTCAGTGTGACCAGTCTGGTGCTACAAAAACTGAACCACCTTTTGCCCTCCAACTATGGACAAGGGATGGGGGCCCTCCAGTATGCCACCCCTGGCCTGGTCCTCGTCATCTCCATCATGGTAGGCAGCAAAGCCTTCACCCAAGCAGAGGTCATCATGGACTTCGGGCATACAGAGGGCAACCTGCACTGTGTCTTCTGGGACCATAAGCTCTTCCAGAATGCAGGAGGCTGGTCAGATAAAGGGTGCCAGGCACAGGAAGCTAATGACAGCCTTGGCACTCAGTGTGTCTGCCAGCACCTCACTGCCTTCTCCATCCTCATGTCCCGGCATACTGTCCCAGAAAACCCTGTCCTGAAGCTCCTGAGTAAAGTGGGCTTGGGTACCTCCATACTGGCACTGCTCATGTGCCTGGGAGTATACAGGCTAGTGTGGAAAGCTGTGGTGCGGAACAAAGTTGCCTTCTTCCGCCACGCTGCCCTGTTCAACATGGTGATCTGTTTGCTGGCTGCAGACATCTGGTTCCTGGTATCCTCAGTCTTTCTTCCAGGGACTCCTGATCTGCTCTGCCTGGCCACTACCTTCCTCTGTCATTTTTTCTACTTGGCCACCTTTTTCTGGATGCTGGCGCAGGCCCTACTGTTGGCTCACCAGCTGCTTTTTGTCTTCCATCAGCTCTCTAAGCCCCTGGTTCTCTCCCTCATGGTGATCCTTGGCTACCTGTGCCCCCTGGGGTTTGCAGGTGTCACCCTGGGCCTCTATCTGCCTCGAGGACAATACCTAAGGGAAGGAAGATGTTGGCTGGATGGGAAGGGTGGGGCAATCTATACCTTTGCAGGGCCAGTGCTGGCCATCGTGGGCATGAATGGGCTGGTGCTCGCCATGACTGTGCTGAAGTTGCTGAGACCTTCGCTCTCTGAAGGGCCCCCAGTTGAGAAGCGCCAGGCTCTCATGGGAGTGCTCAAAGCCCTGCTCATTCTCACACCCATCTTCGGCATCACATGGGGCCTGGGCCTGATGACTCTGGTGGAGGAAGCCGCCACTATTCCTCATTATCTCTTTGTCATCCTCAACAGCTTCCAGGTAGGTGTGTGCAGGCTGCTGGTGTGTGCTTATTTACTGCCCTTTCCAATGGCCTTCACCACTGCCAATTATTTCTCAACAAGACAGAGGGGTACAGTGAAACAAACTAGTCCAGCAATTTTAGGAGGCCTAGGTATAGACCCCAGTTGCTCCACTGACTCGCTGGATAACCTCAGACAAACAAATTATATATCCTCTCTGCACTTTGGTTTTCTTAAGTGTGAAATAGTATCTAAATTTGCTAGACAAGTAAGGAAACTGTCATTACCCAATTCTTTGGTAGCCATTTTGTAACCATGACAACAAGAAAATCACCTGAAATGGATTGTATGTATCAAGCATGCTAACTTAAGAAAAGTCAAGATAGGACACCTCAGGATGTGGATGAGACCAGAGGATGGAGGCTGAGGGAAAAGGTAAGGGCACAAGCTCATTCCAGTTGACTCCCCCTCCTCCAGCTTTTCCCTATTCTCTCTCTGTAGGGAGTTTTCGTCTTATTGTTTGGCTGCCTTGCAGATAAGAAGGTAAGCCTGCCCAGCCAACCCCTGCCTGGCCGGCAGCCAGAAGGCAGGGACTTGACTGCCATAACGCGGGCATTTTCTCGTCCTCTCCAGGTGCAGGAGGCCTTGCGCAAACGCTTCTGCCACACCCAACCCCCCAACTCTGCCATCTCCCTGGTGAGTTGCTGGCTGCAAGGCTTCCCAAGAAGGTCTGAGGGGACCCACAACCTTCCCTAGAGATGGACACAGCTAGATCCTGGAAAAGATAGGGTTGTTCTTTGGAATGCATAGGTTTCAGATTCAAGCTCTCTGACCATGACAGAAGCTGGTGAGTCAGAGCAGTCACATTCCCAGGTTCCTGAGTACACCCTGCATCCTGATGATGCTCTTGGCCCTGTTTTCTCCCATGTAAAAATTGACCCTAGGTTAGGATTTGAAGGGAAAAGATTGGGGCCGGGGAGACAGCTCAGTAGAATAAGCGCGTGCCTGGTGAATGCAAGGGCCTGAATTTAATCCCTGGTTCCACAAAAAAAAAAAAGAAAAGAAAAGAAAAGAAAGAAAGGAAAAGGCAGAACTGATGCACACAGGATGATGAGACTGACAGCAAAGTTCTGGGGATTACTGCATCCTGGCCAGGGGGCAGAGGAGAATGTCACAGTAGCTGCTGCTCTCTTCATAGAGGGGTTCACTATGATAACCATCATTCAGCAGTTAGTTGGGTCTTTCCATCTGTTCCTAGGCCACAAATGAAACCTACATCTCTGAACAGATCGAAGGAGGAAGCCAAAATGCCAAGTGAGGACCAGCTTTCTCAGGAGCGGTGGTGTTGTGAGGAATGAGGATGGGGATAGAAAAGGCCTCTGGGAACAATTCCTGACAGCAGCTGCTTTTCACAAAGCTACCATGGCCCCAGGGGAGAAAGCAGGCTTTTCTAGGGTGACCATCTCTAGACAAGCCTCAGAGTGTAGGAGGCCTAGCATCAAAAAACTTGGATTCAGTTCTCTCTGAAAATCCCTTTTCACACTACTGAATTCCTAATTATCTTTTTTAAAAAAACATGTTTTAAAGGAATTGTTGTGAGCTTGGTTTCCAGAGGAAAGGGCAGCCTGCAGAGTTGGTTACGGTAGCTGTCACCAGCCCTGAGCTTCAGGGTGAGCTCTTTCATGGGGCAGACTGACACTTCAGGGTGAACCCTGAACTGCACAGGAATCCACAAAGGAGGTGAGGGTGTGAGCTGGGATCCACCCAGTGCAGCCTGGCCCAAGGCCTATGCACACCCTTCTCTGCTCACCCTGGGAAAAGCAGGCTTATGTCCGTTTCTCCTGCAGCTTACTGGTCCCAACCCTAAAGTATCCAAGCAAGAAGCAAGAATAGTGTGAAAAGCTAGTTAACACCACCCAATGACCTCATACATAAAAACCTGTTTTTCCTGCCAAACTCAGAGTCAGATATCGAAGTTCCAAATAATTGCAAATAAAACTGTCTCACCCAGTTTTAAAATTATCACTGGGCCACTTTATAGAAAACAATGGGGGAAAGTGGCTCTATTTGATCTAGTGGATCAGTTATTCAGTGATCTCTTCAGGTATTCTTTTTTGATGGTCATGAAGACGGGATCCACTAATTGATAGGAACCTCTGATTAAGGGTAGAATTTTGATTCTTTTCAAGGTTTAGAAAAGGTGAATTTTCTGGGTCCCACTTCCTTTATTTAAAAAAAAATCAATATAAAATGTTTCAGGGATATATGCATGTTTACACAAAGGCACTGACATGAACATATTTTAAAGAATTCCTTATAAAAGTTTAAAACGGAGAGAAAGGTCTCATTGACTGGCAAAACTTATGGAACAAAGATTACAAGCAGAAACATCTGAATGTGACAAGACCAAGCTAAGACCAGATACACACAGGAGCAAAATGTAAGAAAAACTTTCAGAGGGTACCAGGACGTCTGATGCAATTGACTTACAAAATTCACAAGCAGAAGGTGACAAACTTCTAAAAAACATTTAGACTAGAGTCTGGGTGTGATGTCGCACACCTATAATCCCAGCTCTGGGAAGACTGAAAACACGAGGATCACTACCTGCGTAGTGAGACCCTGTACAAAATACATTTAAAAAAAGATTTAGACTAGATCAATGAAAAAATTCTGATGAATTGGTCTTTTTAAGTTGCACAATGTATGGGTATTTTTATAAAATGGAATGGTAACATTTGTCTGTTAAAATAAAAATGGATACACTCTCACATGCTTGAAAATATTTTTCTTACAAATGCCGTATCTCTACTCGGTGACTGATGTGCCTATTTTAATTGTGGAAAAACTGGTCCAAATATTTCTATAAGTGCATTCTGTTAAGCTTCCAAGTAGGAGATAAGGGGAGGCCACTTCGGTGCCTCCAGGCTGCCACCTCACTCTCGCCCTCACCCCCGGGGAGGCGGAGTCGCTGGGACAGACACCCAGTCTCCTTTCCACTGCGCCGCAATGTCGCCTCATCAATATCGACAATTTGCATTTTTAAAATTGTAAAACTATTTTTGGTTACAAATTCAAATAGTGCACTCTTTCCCACTACAAGGAGCAGGCTCCTTTTCTGAGTGGGCTTCCATAATGTGTTCACCTTTCCCTTACCAAGCCATACTCACTGCACCCTCTGCCTTGAAGAAAGTATTCTGCCTTTCTTTGCAGTACCATACTTAAAATGTGGAGGTTAAAATGGGATTGAATCTTTGTTTGGCTCCCACTATAAAAATGTATACACACACACACACACACATATCATAAAACAATTTTGTAGAAGACACAAACTCATTAAGCAGCAACTCCAATAATAACAATAAGCTTGTCTTCTGGATGGTTAACAACCTAAGTTTGCAGACCAAAATTAGAGAAAAAGGAGGCTACAAGGAAAGCCAACATTTTGGCCCTAGCCTTCTAAGGTCAATTAAGACTCAGGACATATGAGAACTTGTACTGTAACGTCATGTACCTCGGTAGTGTCCCAAATTTTCTGATCAAGAAGATAATGGGGCCAAAGAGGAAAGTGATCGATGACGTAGAGTGTGCCTAAGGAGCGTCACATGGGGAGAAGACACTCTCTCAGGCTTTCACAGAGAGCACATTGGCCAAGCATTGGCCGTGACTCATCCACATGGCTGACACTGACAAAGGTTCTACAATCTGAGATACAGGATCTCAGGATAAATCCTGAGGGCATTTCACTGACCTTGTCAGACCAAAAAGCTACAACTCTTGCTGCACAGGTCCTGCTTTACCTTGGTCTTAACCATCCAGTAGAAAAGTATGAAGATGAAATATAGGAAGTAAAGCCATGTTGTTATGTTGAGCTGTGGGGGACTCAGGTCAATAATTTCTGACATTGCCAGTTAAACAGAAGACCCAATGCTATTGTGGGCTACTGGACTCTTTTAGAATGTTTTGCTGAGTTTACACACCTATAATATTTAACAACGGCACTTAAAAAAAAAATTGGGGTATAACTATGAATGTCCATTTTGTATCTGTGTATTCAAAGTGGTCGGGATAGATATATAGTTGCATTCTCTTAATGAATGGAATGATTTTTTCTAATGGTGTAAGTAGGATCACAAGTCTGCATCTTGTACAGCAATTAACCACTAAGAAGAATATATGCAGTGTATTATTTGTTGAAGCTGTACTTTCGATTTGATTTGAAACTGTCTCATTGCTATATGTTTATCAATAAAACTTTGAAAAGAAAAAAAATAAAGTTTAAAGAAGCCAAAAAAAAAAAAAAAAAAAGTAGCAACTCCATTTCAAAGGTGACTTGAAGAGATAAGCAACTGTAATCCGGACTCAGGAGGAGGCAAAAGAAGTGCCATGAGTTCTTTCCATCTCTTCCTAGGCCCCAAATGAAATTCACATTTCTGAACAGAGAGAGGAAGCCAAAATGCCAGGTGAGGCCCAGCCTTCTCTGAAGCAGTGTGAGCAGCATATGGCAAGGAATGAGGATGGGGTAGAAAAGGCCTCTGAGAAAAATTCCTGACAGCAGCTCCTTTTCACAATGCTAGCACATACCACAGCCCACATACTATAGACCACAGGCTACACAGTGAGTTCAAGACCAGCCTGGACTACCCAGAAAAACTCTTTCTCAAAAGAGAAAAGGTAGACAAGTGAATAGATACAAGGATAAGCGCTGTGCATTTCAGTGTGTTTACATCCATCTAGTAAAATAAATTAGGTGACATCCATATGAGGAGATCTAGGTGGTCACTAAAAATGATGACATGTAGCTACATCTACTGCTGATTACACAGCTAAGTGAACGTATTGGGTTCGAATTAAACTGAGACCGAGGCCAGAACAGATTGGAATTTGGTGAGCCTTTATTAGCTGGCCCGGCAGCTGGCCGGTGAACTTCACACAAGAAGTGCCAACCAGTGGCAAAACAGAATTAAGCTCAGTCTTTTATAGCAAGTAAACCACATTTTGTTGACACATTTGCAAACTTTTTATGACTAAGGGGTCTTTAACAGCTCAGCGATAAGCACAACTTCTCTTGTGTGGGGGCCTGTTAAGCAAGCTGTTTTTACAAGACACTTTATAAACTGACTATGTTTACAGGAAATGGTTAGGGAGGAAGTTTACTTTAGCTAGCTGCCTTAACAAGAACTAGTCATTCATTGTTAAACAGCCCTGAGCAGAGAAACAGGGCAAGAACACACATTCCTCGGAGTGAAGAGAGTGAACAACAGGAGGTGCAACGTTCTTCCTAGTAGTATTCCACAGTTATAGCACAAAATTCAGTTAACCCATTACAGTAGACAGGAGGGTCCAGGCAGCATTCTACTAGGCAATGTTGGTCCAGGTCAACATGCACTGAAAAGGGGAGGTATCAAATTGTCAGTATCAAATACAACTACTCCATTTTTTATTTTGTAATCTCACTATATTGTTAGAACTTTCTACAGTTGACATTTTTATTATATATATAAATATATAAAATGTATGTTTTGATATACAAGTACATAATGAAATGATTATTAGAATCAAGACAAATAATATACCCATCCTTGCAGTTAACACCTATTTGTGTGTGTGTGTTTGTGTGTTAATAGCACCTAAAATATATTCTTCTAACAAACTCCCAGCATATAAAACAGTATTGACTATAGTTCTCATGCAGTGAGTTAGATTTCTGGAATTATTCTGTGGAACTGGAACAGGCATATGCAGTACTTTTATAT